AACAGTGACTGGGAAAAGAAAATGGCATTATAGGTGAGGAAACGTCAGCCATGCCAGCTTTGTGACATGAGCAACATGTGTTTATGGCTGCTATGCCAATATGTTGCTGACAAAGGGCAACTCTGGTGTGGCAAATAAAAACCGAAAGAACTGCGGATGCTGTAAATCAAGAACAAAAACAAAGTTGCTGGAAAAGATCAGCAGGTCTGGCAGCATCCGTGAAGGAAAAAACAGAGTTAACGTCTCGGGTCCAGTGACCCTTCCTCAGAACTTCCTCTGGTGTGCCAATCTTGGCTGTGGTTCCAAAATAGTACCAGTTCCAGGGATGCTGGTCTATCAGAGAAGTTCATGCAGTGGTGAGCTCTTCCAGTTGCAGTGTGTAGGAGAATCCGGCTAGCATTGGATGAGGGAAGCGCTATGGTTGGGGTGTTAAGGATAGTTGATGAGGTGAGTTTGGGATAACAGCATGAAAATACTCTCTAGATCTGGCGGAGAGAAATCCTCTACGAAACTTGATGAAATTGACAGTTTGCCAAAAAGAAAATAAGGTTCAGCTCAAAGGATTATATTGAATGTTTTCTTGATTTGATGATTAAGCATATGCATAAGAAGAAAATTATATGAATAGAAGACCATGTCAAAAGATAAATGTTCCTTCAAAGTGAAGCTAAAAACCCTCGAATATAACTGTGCATCAATTCGCTCTTCCCCAATGACCAAGATTTTGAATTGGGAGGTGCTCAGTATGAGAATCTTATGGGCTAATTTTTCCTACAAGTCCTTTAATTTAGCAATTGACTGGCCATTATTTTTAAATGAAGTTTTGCAGCTTTAAGTTGTGACTATACATATTCTGAAAGAAGCTGCAGCTACTTAATTAGTGACTGCTTTAATCTATTTTTCCTAACTTTGTTTTCAGAAAATTTAAGTAGACGCTCCCCTGTGCTGCCTTGTTTGCGCCAAGTGCTGCTTTAGTTGTGCATCGTTTAAAGTGGGAAATCTGCAGACCACACAAAAAGTAGCCAGGTAGTTTGATAATGAAAAAATTGGCTCTGGTCTGCAGGGTGATATCAGGGGCTTGGTCGAGCAGAGGAAAATTGTAGAATGAATTCAATCTGGAAAGGTATGTGGTAATGCATTTGTAGAAGACAAACAAAGCTACAGAATATACAATAAACTGGCGGAGTTTTTAGAGGAAGTTAGAGATGTTGGAATGCATGTCTACAGGTTCCTGAAAGTGGCAGATAGAAAATGTATTAAGGAAGAGCTATAGGATGCTTTCCTTCATTTGGGAAGGTATTGAATAAAAGCAGGGATGCAATTCTGGAACTATGAAATCACTGATCAGGCCGCAGCTGGAGTTTTGAGTAGAGAGCTCATCACCACATACAGGAAGGATACCAATGCTCTAGACATTGTATAGAGGAGATTTACAGGAATGTCGTCAGGGCCTGAAAATTGTAAGTGTGAGAAAAGATTGTACAGGCTGGTGTTCTTTCCTTGAAACAAAGGAAGAGGAGGGGTGACTTAATTAAAGTGTGAAAAATAATGGTCTTTGATAGAGTGTGTGGGGAAGCCCTGTTTCTCTAGCAGATAGGCCAATTACAAGAAAACAAGTTGTTTATGATGGTAGCAGGATTATAAGGGTCATAGGAAAAAAAATGCTTTCACCCAGAGTGTAGTTGTTGAAGTGGAAACCCTCAAGTCAATTAGAAGGAAACTTGCAGTTACACCTCAAGCACTGTAACCTGTACAGACTAGATGCTGGAAACCTAAGTTTAGAGTGGGTGACTAGTCTATTCAGCCCAGTCAGACATGATGGGCTGAATGATATCTTTCTGTGCTGGAACATTCTATTGTTCTAATACTGCAGTGTAACTGAAACCCCCAAGAACATTACATTTCATTTCAAGGAAGGAAAGAAAATGAAGGGCAAGCTGCTATGGGCAATTTTGCATACTTTCTAAGAATGGACCCACATTAGCAGAAGCCCTGCCATAACACATATGTAGACAGAACTAAGACACAAACTTAACACTCTGAATAAGTTAATATACATAAGAAAATATGCTGCGTATTTTTCTGTTGAAATACCAATGATCACAGAGGGTTTAGTATCACAGAGGGTTTAGTATCGCAGAGATTAGGGGACTAAAATATACAGGAGTGGCAGGCTTGCTCACCCTCAAATGCCCAGGAGCATTAAATTATAGGGTTACTAATGAGACAAAGGACAAAATCTGTGAGAAACTGCTCCTCCAACTGAAGTCTCTATCTGACACTGCTTCAGCTCCTCTAATCACAGGTCTCTTCTCCCACTCGAGGCTGCTCTGGAAACAAGAATCTATGACTGCAGAACTAGCATGGTTGGGAGAGAGACATTCTGTGGGTGTCCCACTGCAGCCATTGAGAGGAGGCAGTTTACAAAATGTTGTTAGGGAGTGAAGATTCTTTGTTGGATATAAAATTGCTGGAGGACACATCATTGGATGAGATTAGGATTTTTATCAGTATTGTCATATACATCAAGGACAGCGAAAATGTTTCTGTAACTGATTGCTTCAATCATCAGAGATGGGGATTCCTGTAATTCGGAAACGCAATAAATGCCATTTTTTGTTAATTTACCCATAGGGATTAAGAATAGTGCCAAGAAAAATCATGGTACAATCCAATGAAACAAAACAGAAATTGCTGGAAAAGCTCAGCAGGTCTGGCAGCATTTGTGAAGGGAAAAAACAGAGTTAATGTTTTGGGCATAATGCTGTTTTGTTTCCTGATTTAAATCTGTTTTGTTTCCTGATTTTCAGCATCCGCAGTTCTTATGTTTTTTATTCAATGGTAGTCCATGATTGCCAGCCCATTGTTAAGGTATGGCACATGTAGGAGAAAGAGGAATAGCTTCAGTTGGTTAAATGGTTTAGGGAAATTTATTAAAGAAATTTTTGAGTGCCAGCATATCCCTGTCTATTTCTATATTTGTGTACATACATTCAATGTCCATTAAAGAAACCACAGCATTGGGAGGTACAGTTAGTGAGTTAATCATCTTTATTAAGTGGTATGTATCTTTAATGTAACAAGGTTACTTCTGTACTATGGGGTTCAAATCTACGTCTCATCAAAGCATAATGAAATATTAGTTTGGAAAAAAATTGAAATGTGAAATTATGTAAAACCATTAATTATCTGATGGCTAACTTGGTGCTGCAGAATTAATTTGTTCATCCCCTTTTTGCATGTTTGGACCTTTGGAAGTCAGTATCCTGACAGGTTTGTCAGCACTCACTTTCAGCAGAAGTACTGACAGGATCGAACTTGAAAGTGGCAGATCAAAACCAAAAAATAATGCAGAGTGCAAACTGCTTGCAGTTCATTTTTACAAGGGGCTGCAAACGTGACACTCATTCCCAAAAGTTACCAGTGTCAAGTAATAAAGATTTTTATTCTGGAAATGGAGATATATTTATTATGGCATAAATATTTTGATCTGAGTCAGAATCCCCATTTCCAACACAGATTAGTCAAAAACGTCAGCCAGACAAATTAAAGCAAAATTCTGGAGTTGCTGGATATCTGAAGTAAAAACAGAGTGCTGGAAAAACTCAGCAATTTTGGTAGCATATATGGTGAGAAACTGAGCGTTAATTGTTAATGAATAATTGCTCTTTGGAGCTGGGAGATTTGGGATTTGGGTCCATGGGACTGGAGATCTGAAGCGGAGGAATAGGAGTCAACAGGAAGTTGGGAAGGTTTGGCTCCATTGTGGGGTGTGGTATCTGGTGTCTGTGGGAGTTACAGGGCAGGGAGGGGTGGCAGTTTTAAAGTTAGCCAGGAGTTACAGCAAATTTTAAGGACTTTAGCTTTTTCTGGCTAACCCTTCAGGTAAGTGAGTTAGAACAATCCAGGTGTAACCCAAAATTGGAGACCTGTTTAATGGGCAATTGCCATTGGGAGTTTAATCTTCATGAGTAATTCTTTTAGAGTCACTTGTGTTGGGACTTCTGCATCGTCCTAGCACGCAACTCCATTCTGTGTTTGGCATTGACCATCTTACAATCAGATCTGGGTCAATAAATTAACTAAAACACTTTATTTATAAATTCCAGTTTGAAGATTATATATACATATAAATATTTAAATATGTGCAGTATTTGTGTTACCTTATCTATTTAAAGACAGAAACCTTACAAACTATTAAGCCAATACAGAAGATAAAGTTATCACATAATTGCAGGAGTTGGTGATAATGAAAAGGGAGGCCCTGTTATGTTTAGATATGTAGTTATGCCTGCAAATTTATGAAAAAGCGCACTGTGCTTTGACACAATTAAAAGTGAATAGCTGAGATCAAAACCACGTTTATATCTGTGACTACACAGGTAGGAATCTTTGTGCAGACAATGGAAGACTACTTATGGCATGTAACAGAGTCTAACTAATGATAAGAAATGCCTTGTTAATTCTCAGATTGAATAGTTCAGGGAAGTCAGTTTGGGTGATAGGGACCAGAGAGGTAAGAGAACCTACCCAGCAGAAAAAAGAACTCTGACTTTGATTATGCTCCAGGCAGAGAAAGTAGAACTATCCTTTTCTATTGAGTTATAGAACACAAGTCAAAAACATACTGTTGTCAGGACTAAGCCAGAAACTTCCAATCTCCATTGTTTTCAGTGAACCAAAAGAGAATCCTCAGACCTGCAATGTTTCCAGTTCCATCTCAAAATCTAAGAATAAATCGACTTTTGTACTCTTTAAATGTGGAAGAAAGAGACATCATCCTATCATTGTTCACTTGACTAACAACCATGAAAATCAAAAGGTGAACCCCAAAAATTAAAAAGCAGCCCTCAGGAAAATCTTAAGAAGAGCTCTCAAGAACACTATTTTGACCTCTAACAAGGAGTAATCATTGTTTATACTTGGGTAATGTGCAGACTACAAATACAGATATTATGTCCGTACCACAAATATAGATATTTACTACAGTGTGGACCTACCTCTCACAATCAAGAACCTCTTCTGTTATGTAGTTAAGTGTGTCCCAACCTGAGTAGGCAAACAGCACAAAATACATTGCGAGGGATATCTTATCAGCATCAAGTATGGAGCCTTGAAATGCAGAATCAAGGTGAGAATATTCTTCTGTAAGAAAGGAACAAGCAATAAATTGTGGGAGAACTTCTCACACTGCTTTAAATGCTGCAAGAGAAAACAGCAGAAAATCTCCATACTGATGATCTAAAATTACATACATTATATATATAAATGATTTTGCTGTGAGAATTAGTAGTAATATTTACAAATTAGCTGTTGACACCATACTGTGTGGGAATGTAAGTTGTGAGGAAGATACAATAAGAGATCTTTAAGAGAACTTGGACAGGCTGTGATTGAGCTAGGAAATGACAGATTAAAAAAAAAATTAAATGTGAAGTGATTCACTTTGATGGAGAAAAACAAAGGCAGAATATTTCTTAAAAGGCAAGCGGTCAGGAAGTGTATGTGTCCAAAGGGAACCGGGAGTCCTTATTCATGAGTCATTAAAAATTAACGTAAATATAGTAAGCATTTATTTTCTTCATTCATGTAATGTGGATTTTGATTGCATTTGATAGCGTTTATGGCCCATTCCTAATTGCCCTGGAGAAGGTGGTGGTGAGCTGTCTTCTTGAATCACTGCAGGATACTAACAATGCTCTCACGAAAGGAGTGCCGGGCCGGGATTCTGACCCAGTGACAATGAAGGAATGATGATATTTTTGTTATTCATTTTTGGTTTGTGGGCATCGCTGGCTGGCCAGCATTTATTTGCCTGTCTCTTGCTGCCCTTGAGAAGGAGATGGTGAGCTGGTAGTGATATAATTCCAAGGCAGGATATGTAGATTGGAGGGGAAATTGTAGGTTGTGGTGTTCCCATGCATCTGCTGCCTTGTTCTTCCAGAAGATAATGGTCATGGGTTTGGAAGATGTGGTCAGTGGATTCTTGGTGAGTTACTACAATTCATCCTAAAGATGGTACACACTGCTGCCACTGTGCTTTTGTGATCAAGACTGCGAATGTTGAAGACTGGGTGCCAATCAAGAGGGCTGCTTTATCTTGGATGGTACCAAACCTCTGGAGCGTTGCTGCACTCACCAAGCAAGTGGACAGTATTCCATCACACTCCTCACTTGTCCCTTGTACATTTTGGACAGGCATTGGGATAACAGGAGGCGAGTTACTCACTGCACAATTCCTAGACTCTGAGCTGCCATTATATATATTTATATGACTGATCAAATTCAGGTTTTGATGAATGGTGAGTCACAGGGATAATGGGGGATTCAATGATGGTATTACTACCAAATGTCAAAGAATGATGGTTAACGTTTCTCTTGTTGGAGATGGTCATTTTCTTGTGGTGCCAAAGTTGTCTCTTAACAGCCTAAATGTTGTCCAGGTCTTGCTGTGTATAGCCATAAACTGGTTCAGAATCTTAGAAGTCGAGAATGTTGCTGCATACTACATTATTATCAGAATCAGCAGTGAGGCTCCCACTTTTGACCTTATGATGGAAGGATAAAGCAACTGAAAATCATTGGGCTGAGGTGACCATCTTCAGGAGCTCCTGCAGTGATGTCCTGGGGCCACAACTATTATCACCTTTCTTTGTGCTAGGAATGGAGTGTTTTGCACAGAACCCATTGATTCCAGTTTTGTTAGGACTTTTTGATGGCATTCTTTGCCAGATATTGCACTGATTTGATTCTCACTTTACCAGGTTAATTATTTTACACTTTGCAGCATTGTAATGAGCTTGTTATGCCATTTTGGAGGGTAGTTGTGGGTCTGGAGTTATATGTAGGGCAAACTAGGTAAGGAGGACAGATTCCTTCCTTAATGGACATAAGTGAATCAAATAGATTTCTATGGCAATCCTTCAATTTGAGGATGCTGTCTACTCAGGTACATCAAGAAGTAGGTCAATACACAAAGACTGATAGAGTTTTAAACTCTCAGTGGCAACTAATATTCCAGCAATTATTTTTTATGATACCATTAAAATCGATTTTAATTTCAGATTTATTAGCTGAATTCAGCAGCTGATTGAATTTGAACCCATATCCCCATAGCATTAGCTTGGAACTCTGGAAAACTACTCCATAACATTAACGTTATCACTAGCCTCCCCTCAATTATAAATTAGTCAAACACAACTTCTGATTCAGGAAAACTATGTTGATTGCATGATGATTTTCTAAATGTCCTGCTAATACTCCTCAATAAGGGATTCACATTTTCTCTATGATGCATGTTAAATAATGCTCAGGCACACTTCATAACATTAAAAAGTTGGGTAATTAAAATAACCTAAAAGTCACTTTAGTCATACAAAGCCCTGATTAGAATACTCCTCTGACACTAAGAGACTTTCTGGACATCACATCTTAAGAGAAATAGATATACAGTATTAGTCACAGAGGAAGTACAGCATACCTATATCAGGATGATACCTGGGCCTCCACTCCACAAACTATTGTTGTATTCTTTGGAATTCAGAAAGTTAAAAACTGATTTAAGTAAAGTATTTTTTGAATAGGGTAGATGTAATCATACCCACTGGTTGGGGAGTCTAGGACAATGGGACATAGTCTAAAAACTGGAGACAGATCTTTTAGGACTAAAACTGCTGTCAGCTGTCCTTTGATCCAAAGATGCTGACTAGTCATGTAAATCAGAACATACCGCATGACATAAAAACTATCCTTTCTGCAAATGCCAATGGACATTCCATTAATTATTAATTTCAATGTAAGGTTGTTGAGATTTTTGTTCACCAGATTATTGAGGAATATGGGACAAAGGCAGGTCTAGGGAATTAGGTCACAAATCAGTCATGATATAACTGAATGATGGAACACCCTTATGGGGCTAAATGACCTTTTTACTTGAAAAAGCAGATAACGTGTCAAATTGACACTCTATCAAAAAGGCAGTGCCTCCAAATATACAGAATTCCTTCAATATGAACTGTCAGTGTGGATACAGTGTGGAGCTGAAGAAGCACAGCAGGTCAGAGGAGTAGGAGAGTCGACATTTCGGGCCTAAACCCTTCACCATGGCTGACGAGGGGGAAGGGAGCTGGGAAATAAATAGAGGGAAGGTAGGAGAGATGGCGATAGGTGGATGTAGGTAGGGGTACTGGGGATTGGCCAGTTGAAAGGATGAGGCGGATGGGTGGAGAAGGAGATGGACAGGTAGTGTCAGGTCAAGGAGGCGGGGATGAGAAGGACGGTTGGACATCGGATAAGGCCGGCAGTGGGGAGATTTTGAAACTGGTGCATTCTAATGTTTAGGCCATCAGGCTGTAGGCTCCTGAGGCGGAATATGAGGTGTTGCTCCTCCAGTTTTCATGTGGCATCATTGTGGCACTGGAGGAGGCCCAGGATGGACATGTCACCCAAGGAGTGAGAGGGAGAGTTAAAATGGTTAGCGACCAGACGGTGTTGTTGATTATAGTGTATGGAGCACAGGTGCTCTGCAAATCTGTCACTGAGTCTATGTTTGGTGTCACCGATATAGAGGAGATCACATCAGGAGTAACGGATACAGGAGACCAGATTGGAGGATGTACAGGTGAACCCCTGTTGGATATGGAAAGTTTGTCCTGGGCCTCGGATGGAGGTGAGAAGGGAGGTGTAGGGGCAAGCGTAGCACCTCCTGCGCTTGCAGGGAAACGCGCTCGGTGTGGTGGGATTGGTGGGAAGTCTGGAGTGGACGAGTGAGTCGCAGAGTGAGCGGTACCTATGAAAGGCAGATAGGGTTGGGGAGGGAAATATCTCTTTGGTGGTGGGGTCGGATTGTAGGTGGCGGAGATGGCAGAGGATGATGCGCTGAATGCAGAGGTTGTGGGGTGGTATGTGAGGACGAGGGAGACGCTGACTTTATTTTCGTTGGGGAGAGGAGGTTTGAGGGCAGAAGTGTGGGAAATTCAAGAGATGCATTTTTGATCAATGGAGGGGGCAAGTTGTGGTCCTTGAAGTAGGAGGCCATCTGGGATGTCTGTGAGCGGAACGCTCCATCTTGGGAGAAGATGCGGCGCAGCCAGAGCAATTGGCAGTAAGGAATTGCATTCTTTCAGCAGGGTGGGTGAGACGAGGTGTAGTCAAGGTAGCTGTGGGAGTCGGTAGGTTTAAAATAGATGTTGGTGCTGAGACAGTTACCGGATATAGAGACAGAGAGGTCCAGGAAGGGGAGGGAGGTATTGGAGATAGTCCAGGTGAATTCAAGGTTGGGGTGAAAGGTTTGAGTAAAGTTGATGAACTGTTTAAGCTCTTCATGGGAGCACAAGGCAGCGCTGATACAGTCACCAATGCTGCGAAGGTAGAGGTGAGGGATATTGCTGGTGTAACAGCAGAAGAGGGACTGTTCCATGTACCCTATGGAGAGGCAGGCATAGCTCGGACCCATATGGGTGCCCACAGCCACCCCTTTGGTTTGTAGGAAGTGGGAGGAGTTAAAGGAAAAGTTGTTGAGGGTAAGGACAAGTTCTGTTAAGCGGATGAGGGTGTTGGTGGAGGGGGACTGGTTGGGCCTGCAGGAGAGGAAGACAAAGACAGCTTTTAGGCCATTTGTGTGAGGGATACAAGTGTATGGGGACTGGATGTCCCTGGTGAAGATGAAGTTTTGGGGGCCAGGAACTTGAAAGTCCTGGAGGAGGTGGATGGCATGGGTAATGTCCTGAATGTAGGTGGGGAGTTCCTGGATCGGGGGGAAAAGACAATGTACGCAGAGATGAGTTCAGTGGGGCAACAGCAGGAAAAGACAATGGGTCAACCCAAACAGTCAGGTTTGTGGATTTTGGGAAGGAGTTAGAACCGGGTGGTGTGGGGTTGGGGAACAATGCGCTTGGAGGCTATGGGTGGCAGGTCTCCTGAGGCGATAAGATTACGGATGGTCCAAAAGACGATGGACTGGTGATTAGGGGTGGGGTCATAATCGAGGGGGCAGTAGGAGGAGGAGTCAGAGAGTTGATGCCGGCCCCAGCAATGTCGAGGTCAGTGCACCATACCACTACTGTGTGTCCCTCTTATCCGTAGATTTGAAGGTGAGGTTGGGGTTGGAGCAGAAGGAGTGGAGAGCTGTGCGTTCCATTGGGGAGGAAGTTGGAGTGAGAGGGGTAGAGAGGTTAAGGCGAGCGATGTTGCAATGGCAGTTGGAGATGAAAAGGTCGAGGGAGGGTAGGAGGTCGTGGTGTGGTGTCCAGGAGCATGAGGTTTGTTGGAGGCTGAAGAAGGGGTTGGCACAGGGTGGGTTAGACTCCCTGTCAAAGAAATAGGGGCGTATGCTCAAAAAGAGTTCAACATCCAGGTGTGAATGCAATTTATTGATTTGTGGGGGCAGGGGAACGAAGGTAAATTCTTTGCTGAGGACTGACCATTCAACCTCCGTGAGGGGTAGGTCTGCGGGTGTTGGTGAATACCTGGCTTGAGGCTGGAGTTAGGTGTAGAGTTGGAGCTGGGAGTGGGAGTGGACACTGTCTCGGGAGTGAGTGTGTGTACGGGGATGGTCACGTAGGTGGAAGCGAAAATGATGTCAGCAGTGGAAGTGACATCATCAGCATCGGCGGAAGTGATGCCGTTGGCATCAGGGGCAGAAGCATCTGGTCCCAAGATACAGCGTTCCACTCACAGACATCCCAAATAGCCTCCTACTTCAAGGACCGTAACATCTCCCCCCCAGTTGATCGAAAGTGCCATCAAACGCGTCTCTTGAATTTCCCACACTTCTGCCCTCAAACCCCCTCGTCCAAACGAAAACAAAGACAGAGTCTCCCTGGTCCTCATACACCACCCCACCAACCTCCGGATCCAGCGCATCATCCTCTGCCACTTCCACCACCTACAATCTGACCCCACCACCAAAGACATATTTCCCTCCCCACCCCTATCTGCCTTTCATAGGTACCGCTCACTCCGCGACTCACTTGTCCACTCTACACCAACCCCACCATACTGGACACCTTTCCCTGCAAGCGCAGGTGGTGTTACACATGCCCCCTATACCTCCCTTCTCACCTCCATCTGAGGCCCAAGACAAACTTTCCAAATCCAAAGAGGTTCATCTGTACATCCTCCAACCTGGTCTACTGTAACTGTTGCTCCCGATGTGGCCTCCTTTACATCGGTGAGACCAAACGTAGACTCTGTGACAGATTTGCAGAGCACCTGTGCTCCGTACGCTATAATCAACAATACCATCGGTTGCTAACCATTTCAACTCCCCTCCCAGTCCTACTCCCTGGGTGACATGTCCATCCTGGGCCGCCTCCAGTGCCACAGTGATGTCACATGCAAACTGGAGGAACAACACCTCATATTCCGTCTTGGGAGCCTACAAGCCTGATGGCCTAAACATGGAATTCACCAGTTTCACATTCTCTCCACCCCCGGCCTTATCTGATGTCCAACCCTCCCTCTCATCCCCGCCTCCTTGACTTAACACTATCCGTCCATCTCCTTCCCCACCTATCCGCCTCACCCTTTCAACTGACCAATCCCCACTACCCCTGCCCTCCATCCACCTATCGCCATCCCACCTACCTTTCCCCAGCCCCACCCCTCTTCCCTCTATTTATTTCCCAGCTCCCTTCACCCTCCCCAGTTCTGATGAAGGGTCTAGGCCCAAAACATTAACTCTCCAATCCTCTGATGCTGCCTGACCTCCAGCTCCACACTGCATTGACTCTGACTCCAGGATCTGCAGTTCTTGCTACCTCTGAATGAACTGTCAGTGTCTCTTTGTCATGTTCAAATCTCTCGAGTGTGAATCGAATGTTCAATGGTCTGACAAAGGCGAAAGTACTACCAACTGATCCATGGCTTACAAAGTACAATTTCAAAATTTGTAAGTAGTTAAAATTGAAGACTAATACAATAAAATATGAAACATGTATAGGATGTGCATATTTAACAAAATAGTCCAAGTGAACCTTCACTGAACTACTTCAAAACATCTTGTAAAGATGCAGTAAGACTTCCCTCCTCTTATATTCCAAACCCCTTGAAATAAGGGCCAATATTTCAGGAGCCTTCCCGATTACCTGCTGCACCTTTGTGCTGGCTTTCTTTGTTTCACACACAAGTACTCTGAATCCCTTCGTGTTGCAGTTTTCTGCAGTTTCTCTCTATTCAAATAACATTCTATACTTTTGTTCTCTCTTCCAAAATGAACAACTTCATATTTTCCCACATTATTCTCCATTTGCCAAAATTTTCCCACTCACTTAACCCATCAATATATCTCTGTACACTATTAGTATCCATCTCGCAATTGCCTTTCCACCGATTTTGTGTCAACTGCAAATTTTGCTACAGTATATTCACTTCCTTCCTCCAAGTCATTAATATATATTGCGAACAGTTGTGAATCTTGCACTTATCCCTGTGGAACCCTACTGGTTACCAGATGCCTGAAAAAAGAACCCCATATCCCCACTCTCATTTCCTGCTCATTAGCTAATTCTCTAACAATATAGTCTCTCCAACACCATTGCCTCTTATCTTTTGATTTAACACTTTGTGATGTACCCTGTCCCATACTTTCTGGAAGTCCAAATATAACATATTTGCTGGTTCCCCTCTATCCACCACCAATGAGACTTCCTTGAAAAACTCTAATAAAATTAGCCAGACATGATTTCCCCTTCACTAAGGCCATGATGACTTTGTTTGATTAGATTATGACTTTCCAGATGTACTGCTATTACTTCCTTAATCATTGATTACAACATCTTTCTGACAATAGTTCTTAGATGAAGAAGGGTCTTAGGACCATTGTGTGGCACCATACACATATGGAACAATGGGCTAAATGGTTCAATTCTTTTAAAGCTCTTACCTTGATTGAGTTTAACCAATCCCGCAATAATAATGATGGAAAGGCCAAGCAATTTGGCAAATGCAAGTGCATCTTGGACTCTGGTTGCCCAATTCACATTGGCACAGTTTATAAAAGTAAGCAGACCTGCGTATGAAGATTACAAAGATGTAACATTGAAGTAACTGCTGGGATTTCAAATGCACATATATTTAACTTGACTTATTGGTCTCAGTATATCCAGTTTGCTTACTTAGATCCGGTTTATATTACACAGTCATAATTTCAACAGAATAGAATAATGAATTCTTCGTTGAGTTGACCATTTCATACTGTAGCCAGAAGTTCCCAATGTTATTTCTAAGTGTGGGGGGAGGTCTGTTACATGATGACTAACATGCCACCCCGAAGGATAAAATTTCTCAACCTACCACCTGCCAATCAGCTGATTAAGATCTGAAAGATATGCAAGGCCTTTCAGTCCTTGACAACAAAAAAAAGCTGTCCTAAAATCCACTGACAAGAAGATTTTTTTCTTCTTTTCCTAGCATAGAAATCATGGGAGAGGAGGATCATGGGGTTCAGAGACAAAGGCAGAAGCCCACCATTACTGCCTCTGCTTTACCCCAAGTTGGGGTAGTTGGAGTCCCTCACCCACGTGGGAAGGTTGCTAATATTTCCTGGTTGGGAAACTAGGCAACTTCTTGCTTGCTGGGAAGCTAAGTAGTCAGTTAGGTGATAAGTTGAAGCCGTGAGTCGGCCATTAATTGACCACTTAAGGGCCTTAAGTTGCTGGTGCTTCTCACTCAACATTTCTTCGCAGAGAAGAGTTGAGTTTCTGTTTGGGACCAACTTATTACTTTATCTCTGAATTTGAATTGGAATGCGTTTATTATCATGGGTATTCAAGTACAGGAGTATAGTGACAGTGAAAAGTTTACAATGTTGTCCCACATGGCGCCATCTTAGGTACAAAGTACCTAGGTACAAATCTTGGATAGAAAATAGAGAGATAAAAACAAACTTACAGTACCTTACAGTTATTCATAATATGTTAGAAAATAAGAACTAAAGTTAAACATAGAAACATAAAAGATAGGAGCAGGAGGAGGCCATTTGGCCCTTCAAGCCTGCTCTGCCATTCATCACGATCATGACTGATTGCCTAAATCAATAGTCTAATCCTGATTTCTCCCTATAACCTTTGATCCCATTCGCCCCAATGCTATATCTAGCTGCCTCTTGAATACATTTAATGTTTTGGCATCAACTACTTCCTGTGGTAATTAATTCCATAGGCTCACTGCTCTTTGGGTGAAGAAATGTCTCCTCATTTCTACCCTAAATGGTCTACCCCAAATCCTCAGACTGTTCTGGACACACCCACCATCGGGAACATCCTCCCTGCATCTACCCTGTCTAATCCTGTTAGAATTATATAAGTCTCTATGAGATCTCCCCCCCACCATTCATCCAGTGAAAACAATCCTAACCTCGTTAATTTCTCCTCATACGTCAGTCACGCTATCCCTGGAATCAGTTGGTAAACTTTTGCTGCACTTACTTGAGAGCAAGAGCATCCTTCCTCAGAAAAGGAGACCAAAACTGCACATTATACTATAGGTGCGGCCTCACCAAGGCCCTGTATAACTGCAACAACACATCGCTACTCCTAACCAAAACCTCTTGCAATGAAGGGCAACATACCATTTGCCTTCTTTATTACCTGCTACACCTGCATGCTTACCTTCAATAACTAGTGCAAAAGGGACACTCAGGTTCTGCTGTACATTCCCCACCCCCATTTTACAGCCATTCAGGTAGTAATCTGTCTTCTTGTTTTTGCTTCCAATGTGAATAACCTCACAGTTATCCAAATTATACTACACCTGCCATTGATATGCCCACTTGCCCAACCTGACAGGATCATGCTGAAGGACTTCTGCATCCTCGTCACAGTTCACCCTCCCAACCAACCTGGTATCACCTGCAAACTTGGAGATGTTACATTTTGTTCCCTCATCCAAATCATTAATGTATATTGTGAATAGCTGGGGTCCCAGCACACATCCCTTTGGCACACCACGAGTTACTGCCTGACAATTTGTAAAGGACCCATTAATTCTTAGTCTTTGTTTCCTCTCTACCAAACAGTTTTCTATCCATCTCAACACACCTCCCCCAATCCCATGAGCTTTAATCTTTCACAATAATCTCTGCTGCGACACTTTCTCAAACACTTTCTGAAAGTCCAAATATACCACATCGACTGTTATCCCCCCTTGTCAACTCTACTAGTTACATTTTCACAGAATTCCAGCAGATTTGTCAAGCATGATTTCCCCTTCATAAATCCATGTTGACTCTGTCTGATCCTGCCTCTGCTTTCTAAATGCTCCATTACAAAGTCCTTGATAGTGGTTTCGAGAAATTTACCCACTATCAATGTTAGGTTTATTGGTGTATAATTCCCTGTTTTCTCTCTATCTCCTTTTTGAAAACTGGAGTGACATTAGCTACCCTCCAATCTGCAGGGACTGTTTGAGTTTACAGAATTCTGGAAGATGATCACCAATGCATCCACTATTTCTTGAGCTACTTCCTTAAGTACTCTGGGGTGTAGATTATCAGGTCCTGGGGATTTGTCCATCTACAATCCCATCAATTTTCCCAGCACCATATCTCTACAAATATTTATCTCCCTCAATTCGTCCCTCTCACTAAGCTTTGCATTCTCCAAAATTTCATAGAAATCATAGAATCCCTACAGTGTGGAAACAGGCACTTCGGCCCAACAAGCCCACATCAACCCTCAGAGCATCCCCCCCAACCCATCCCCCTACAACCCACCTAAATACACATCCCTGAACACTACGGGCAATTTAACATGGCCAATCCACCTAGCCTGTAAATCTTTGGACTGTGGGAGGAAACCGGAGCACCCGGAGGAAACCCACGCAGACATGGGGAGAACATGCAAACACCACGCATAGAATTGCCCAAGGGTGGAATTGAACCTGGGTCCCTGGCGCTGTGAGGCAGCAGGGCTAACCACTGAGTCACCGTGCCGCCTTATTTGTGTGGACTCCGGATTACTAATCTAGTGAAATTACCAGTACACCACCATCTCTTTTCTGGTGTCTGATTTGTGTCCTCTTTTGTGAAGACAGAACCAAAGTATGTATTCAGTTCCTCAGCCATTTCTTTGTCCTCTGTTATACATTCCCCTGTTTCCGTCTGTAGGGGACCTACAGTTGTCTTCAGCAATCTCTTCCTCTTCATGTATCTATAGAAACTCTTAGTGTCAATCTTTATGTTCCCTGCAAGTTTACTTTCATACTGTATTTTCCCCTTCTGAATCAATCCCTTGGTCCTTCTTTGCTGAATTCTAAACTGCTCCCAATCCTCAGACATATTATTTTTCTTGGCCAATCTGTATGCTTCTTCCTTGGATTGAATACTATCTCTAATTTCCTTTGTAAGGATGGGCTGGCCCTCTTACCCATTTTGCTTTTGTGCCAGACAGGAATAAACAGTTGTTGCACACCCCCCATGCATTCCTTGAATGTTTGCCATTGCCTATCCACTGTCATCCCTTTAAGTAATTCTGCCCAATCTATCAAGGCCAATCACGCCTCATATCTTCATAGTTTCCTTTATCAAGATTCAGCATCCTAGTCTCTGAATGAACTACCTCACTCTCCATCTCGATAAAAAATTCTACCATGTTACGGTTGCTCATCTCCAAGGGGTCTTGCATAGCTAGATTAGCAATGATTTCCTTCTCAGTACACAGTACCCAGTCTAAGATGGCCTTCTCTCTAGTTGATTCCTCCGCATGTTGGTCAAGAAAACTATCCCGTATAGACTCCAGGAATTCCTCCTCTACAGCATTGTGGCTAATTTGATTTGCCCAATCTATGTGCAAATTGCAATCACCCATGATCACCGATAGTCCCCTACTACATGCATCTTAATCTTCTGTTTAATGCCACTCCCAACATCACCACTGCAGTTTGGGGATCTATAGATGACACCCACTAATGTTTTTTGCCCCTTGATATTTCTCAACTCTACCCATTCAGACTCCACATTGTCAGAGCTAATATCCTTTCTCAACATTGTGTTAATTTCCTCTTTAACTAGCAATGTCTCTTCCTTTTTGCCTGACTTTCCTAAATACTGAATAGCCTGGGACACTGAGTTCCTATCCCTGGTCACCCTGCAGCACGTCTCTGTAATCCCAATTATATCGTATCGGTTTACATCTATTTACGTGATTTGTTCATCCACTTTATTGCAACTGTTCTCTGCATTAAGGCACAAAGCCTTTAAGCTTGGCTTTTTAACATTGTTTATCTTGCCCTTATTTTTCTCAATAGCCCTGTTTGAATTTTGTCCTTGGTTTCTCTGCGTATCACTTTTCTTATTCCCTTTTCTACCTTTTGTTTTTGTCTTTGCTCACCCCTTCTCTGACTCCTTACAAACATAAACATTACAGTCTTTCTGTAAAGGGCTTGCAGTACATCAATGCAGGGGGCTTCCACACGTGGTATGATCAGGCTCGCAAGACACTGACAACCTGCACCAGTCCCCAGTCCAACAACTGGCCCCGCACTGGGCACACTGGCTATCCTGTTGTGCTTGGGCCTCCAGACCCCTGGTTGTCCCCACATCGCCCGGGCCTCTGGCCTGCTGGACATCCCAGCTCTGCCCGCTGTCCTTGCTCTGCTCAGGCCTTGAGCCTACTCCGCTCCATACCTCCAGCCCATTTTATTCGGCCCTCATCCGCTCCAATGATGTCACTGCCACACTAAGGTAAGATTTTTATAAAATCGCAGGAACAGAAAATAGGAGCAGGAGTAGGCTATTCAGCCCTTCAATTCTGCTCCTGCATTCATTTTGATCATTACTGATCATTCAACTCCCTTGTTCCTGCATTCTCCCTGTATCCTTTGATCTCTTTAGCCCTAAGACCTATATCTAATTTGTTCTTTGAAAACACCCAAAGTTCTGACTTCAAACATTTTCTGTGGCAGAGAATTCCACAGCCACTGGGTGAAAAATTTCTTGCCACCACCACTGAGGGGAAACCATTCCACAACAGGAGGAGGTCAGTGTTCACCATACACATTTTGGCTCTTGAA